CTCTTTTCTCATGTTCTTCAGGTCTGTCCCCCTCTTGACCCCTAAGTCATTATCTTATCAGTGAGGCCTTGCCTGGACAGTCTTTCTAAAATTTTACCAGTCCCCAAACACTGTTCCCTCTACTGCCTTATTTACTTCCCTTGTTAAGACACATCAATATCAAAAAGCCAGAAATAGTAAAAAACTAAATTAGTTTTTCCTCCTAAATGTCTTTCTTTTAAAACTCCTTAACTATGAAGACCATTTTTCCTTAAAAATTATTTTGGTCGTTATGTCTTAAAATTACCCACATACCCACTTTAAAGAGTTAAATAGTTCTAAGAACTGCCGTCAGTTTCAGGAGTAACTATTTCCAATTCTATTGGATGATTCTTTTGGTATCTTACACTGTGTCTAAATAACATGCTTATGTTGCTACGACCTAACTTCAATTTTGGGCCTTATTCATTTTCCACTGTGTGGGATGAGACGTAAGCCCTCTCTTCCCAGTGTCACACCCTGTGCATGCTCACACACATACGGCTCTCCCCTTCTCAGTATGATTAAATTGTACTTTTGGTTTCATCAAGATTTGATATTTTAAACTGTAAGCCCTAGTCATAGCTGAGCCCCATAGTACGCTGTGATTACTTTCCATTCCTTTGTAATGTTTTCTTTTTCCTAAAGTTAAAAATTGTCATGACTTTGATTCGTTTACTTTTCTAGTTTTATTAGTCCATTCTTATGCTGCTAATAAAGACAGAAGACATACCCAAGACTGGGTAATTTATAAAGGAAAGAGATTTAATTGACTCACAGTTCCACATGGCTGGGGATGGTCCTCACAATCATGGTGGAAGGTGAATGAGGTGCAAAATCAAGTCTTACATGGGGGCAGGCAAAGAATTGTATTCAGGAGAACTGCCCTTTATAAAACCATCAGATGTCGTAAGACTTAACCACTGTCATGAGAACAGCATGGGAAGAATCTACCCTCATGATTCAGTTACCTCCCATCAGGTCCCTCCATGACATGTGGGAATTATGGGGATTACAATTCAGGATGAGATTTGGTGGGGACATAGCCAAACCATATCACTAGGTTATTAGCATCAATTCTACCCAAGACTGTATCAGTTATGTATATCTTTTTTCAGTATATTCAGTCATCTATATTCTGCAGTTTTCCTTTTCTTGAAAAAGTCACTCATAGAGTCTTTTTAAATCTGAATGATTGTTTTCAGGTCTCCTAGAGATACCACAGAGGTATCTCTAAGATCTATTTACTCTCAAAAGAGCATTTGGGCAGTTGTTACAGATATTAATACTATTGTTGTTGTCATTGTTGTTTTTTAAATATTATTTGACCAAATCATGAAAACAACTGTTCACTGTGAATTTATTAGTGGTTCCCTTTTATGTGTTATAATCAAGATAACCTTTTATTAAAAAAATACGGAATGCATTTTTTGTTTTATATGAAACATATTAGGGATTACTGAAACAATCTGAATACATTGATTATATATAGTATTTTTAAATTTTATTTTTTATAGGCTCTCAAAATTAGAGAGATGTGTAATTGCCCACCACTGTCTAAACCAGACCCTCGATTACTATTCAAACTCAGCATGAAGCATTTTCTTGAAGAATCAGAGAAAGAAGACCTAAATATTACGAAGAAACAGAAAATGGATACTCTTCCTGTTCAAAAACAGGAGCAAATACCATTAGCATACCTAGTTGAGAAAAGAACTGGTAATTGAATTAAAACTTATGAGACACAAGATATACGAAGAATGTTGCAGTCTTTATCATTTTATGTTACTTTAAAAAAAATGATGTTTGAAATGAACAAAAAGGATATTCAGGGTCAAATCATGTACATTACGGATATTATCTAAATTCTTCTAGAATTTATTTTTCATGAAATATTGATGGATTTTAATCTATGTTAAAATATCTTCAATGAGGAAAATGTCACAGAATAAATTTATATTACACATTTTACTCTGTCTTCTACTTGCTTTTGATTTAGAAGGCAGACCCCTAGTGGATGAGAAATGAGAACACACAAGTAGTTTTTATTGTAGAGAAGGTTTCAACTGAGCCTAAACTGGATTTCCAAGTCTGGGTGATTATGATGAAGTGGGAAATAGTCTGAAGGTATCTGTTTGCAGGAAATTGTTAGCATCGGGGTGGGATTATGTGGAAAAGGGGACCTCAGGATAGAGAATTTTCTTATCTTCACCTGTGGATGACTGGAGAAAATGCTACAGGCAGAAGCTATTTTCCTAGAGAGACACAAGAAGTTGTGGTTCAGATAGCAAAGCAAGAAACAGAATTGGGGGAGAGGGCATTTCCACAGAGACACTGTGTTCCTGGTGCACTGACGTCTTAACAGAAGGTTGTGTCATTTGATTGCTCCATGAGATTACCATTTGGGAATCTCTGGGGTTCCCAGAGAAGACAACCACTCTGTTTCTATGACGGTACCATCAAAAGAGCCAGAGGCAAGGCACTGCCCCCAAGTTGACCTTCCTGAGCCGCAGATATCAACGAGGGGACCGGAGGAAAATGACAAGAGAAGAAGCACAAGACACACCCCCAGTGGTGCCCAGAAATTGCTGCATTATATAAATGTGGAAATATGACTTATTTAATATGTGTATTCCCAAACTAGTGAAGTCTAGTGATGCTTAGGTTATATTTCTAAGAAGACATTTTTCTTGAAACACATTATATTAAATAAATATTTTCTTAGAGAATTACAGAGGAAAGGGACTACTTTGTATTATATGTCTACTATGAGCTGGGCCCTGTATTTATCTATTTTCCATAACCCTGTTAGGTTTTATTATTCTTATTTTACAATGGCAAATAGGCTTGGAGAAGTTAAATAATATACCCAATGTCTCTCACCTAGATAGAACAAAGCTAGATCTATCTGACTACGAATCTGTCCATTTTTTACAATGCTCAGATATCTAAGAGTAAGCTATCGAAACAAGGAACAAACTATTCTCAGTTATTCATTAGCTTCCCCACATATGGCTACAATACAAGTAAAAATCTCATAATTATGAAATCAGGGACCACTTGTGTTTCCTGCAGGTTGATTTTATAGGTTCTCAGCCTCTGCTATCAAAATTGACATGAAAAGCTTTAGATGAGGCAGTGTAGGAGAGTAGAACCTCTCCCACTGCCTGTGGAAAGAAGCCTGTGAAATCTCACCTGGGATGTGCCCTGTCACTATTAAATCTTCTTAGACAAAATATCTAGTTGTTAAGAAAACAAGTTCAGAGGCTGTTTTTGTTTCCCAGGGCTTATTATACATTACTCGTAAGGAATTTCCTGATCTACACACAAGACAACCATTGGTCATGAATAGGTTCACATTAACTATTCTCAATATAATCATTTTTTACACTCCTTGTGATTGGAGTGTTGTGAAAGACACTCCATAACATACAAAGACAGTTGGAGAATATCACCTAAAGGTAAACAGTAAAACACAGCGTTAGATTTTCCTACAGATTCCCTAAGAAAATAAATGTAGCAAAGACCTCTATTTTTTCTTCTATACTGTTGTCACTTCTAATTGTGTTGTTCAGACTTGCTAGAAACATATACAAGTTGACACCATGTCAGAAGGAGCAGAGATAATATCTTTATAATATACCAGAAAGACTTTTTTCAACCAGTGGAATCAAATGCAAAAGAAATGTTACAGTTCAGCTCAATGTTTTAGAAGAAATAGCAGTTGAAATACAAGATATGTATATATGTGTGTGTGTGTGTGTGTATATATAATTTTATATGGAAATAAGCTCTATGTTCTGCACTTAGTTGCAGAACTACTTTGTTCCTGTCAATACTTTTCATGTGCCTATAGGATATAGATGATAGGCTGGTGGTTAACTTAGTTGTTAGGAGGATGATGCTAATAAATTCAAGACACAAACTCAACCTGATTTTTTTATAATTCTGATAGTGTGAGACTATCTCCCAAAACTAAAGGACAAGGACAGCGTGTATATTTACTTCTATATGCTTATAGTTCTTGACACATTATAGGCATTAATTAATATTTTATTGACACTGTACAGCAATCATCTGGTCAAAGGACTGAAAAAAAGGAGAAACAGTCATACTCTAAAATCTTTGCTTCTGTAGTTGTGGAACCCTGGACAAGTCACATAAACTCTCTAATCTTCATTCCTTAATTATAAAATGGGGGCAAAAAAAATTCTCCTAGGTTGACTTGGTTGACCAAGTGAAATGATACAGCATTTAACACAAAATCTAAAGCTGCAAATGTAATAAAAATTGTTACCATATACTGATGCATACTTTATACTATTAGCCATTTTCATACTGCTATAAAGACATACTCGAGACTGGGTAATTTATAAAGAAAAAGGGGTTTACTTGACTCACAGTTTCACATGGCTGGGGAGGCCTCATGAATCTCACAATCATGGTGGAAGGGGAAGAGGCACATCCCAATTGGTGGCATGTGAGAGAGATCAAGCAAGAGCAGGGAAAACCACCCCCAAAACCATCAGATCTGGTGAGAACTCACTCACTGTCATAAGAACAGCATGGAGAAAACTGTCCCCATGATCTAATCACCTTTCTCGGCACATGGGGATTACAATTTGAGATGAGATCTGGGTGGGGACACAGCCAAACCTATCAGCTATGCATGGTGCTAAGCATTTTGCAAGCACTGTTGAACCCCACAGCGACCCTATTTATGGTAGATATTCTATTCAACTATGCCCTATTGTAGATCAGGAAGCTGAAGGTTAGAGGGGTAACGGAAGTTGCTCAAGGCTACATGGTATATAGTTCTTAAGATTTTTTTTTACTTGCAAGAACAGAGAAACCAACACAAACCCAACCAAGAAAATTTGTTCCCTCAAACTAACAGAAAAGCCCAGAAATATTCTGCTTCAGGCACAGTTTAATCTAGGGGATCATGATGTCATCCGAGCAAGGGCTCTTTTTCTTTGCAGTCTTTCTCAGATGTTCCCTGGTGATGTCAAGATGGCTGCCAGCACTTCCAGGATTGCATGCTTTCACATCCAGCTGGATGAGTGACTGACTCACACCCCAACTATTGAAACAAAGCCTTTAACACTAACTGCACCCTGAAGCAATCGCCATGGCAGGGGATGGCATTATTTTGATTGGCTTGGACCTATCTGGATCCAACACGAGTTGAGGATGGGCACGACTCAACACCACCCAAACAGAATGGCTACTGCGCAGTGGGAGAGATGCAACCACAGGGCTTATGAAGTAAGTGACAGAACTGGAATTAAAACCTGTTTATCCTTTCAGCAGGCAAAAAACAAGATGATTCCTTGACAAATTTTATCTGAAATAATACCTAATCTGAGAAAAAATGTAGTATAAATTTTATATTGATATGATAGCAAATTTTCATTAACCTATTTGCTTTACCATTTAAAAGTTTTTTTGTTTGTTTTGTCTTGTTTTGTACTGAATTATATCCTCAAAACCAATCTATGAGATTGGAAGGACAAATGGCATTATTTACTCATAGGGGAGAAAACTAACGCTTGGAGGAATTAGGCAAGTGACTCAAGTATGCATTCAGGTAAATGGCTGAACTGGGATTGGAACTGAAGAATCCACTGATTTGTAATCCAATTTTCTTTCTGCAATACTGCATTCTTTGGAGAGGGAGCTATTACCTCCATTTATCTGGAAACTGAAGCTCAAAAATATTAGTCAATGTGTGCCCAGCACTACTCACTTCTTAATGGCAGAACTGGTTCAAACCCTCTCATTTCCTGACTCCTCTTCCTCCATGTACTGCCACTTCCATGAACAAATCTCATAGAAAGTGAGGATGAAAAATGTGCATTCCCTTCATCCTTCACTCATGAACACCAGGGCCAACACCTCTTTTCTCTTATTTAAAAGCACCCATTTTAATAGTTGATGGCAGATGGTAAAAATATCCATTTTAAGCGTATGTATACATGTGAAGGATAAAATTCTTGTTAATCACCTCATAACATGTTTTGATGAGAGCCTAGAGAATTCTTTAATCTGTAGTGAGATGAGATAAATCTCCCACTTCATTACGGGGAAGAAAACTCTATCAGTGTTCTACCCATCTACACTTTGCCCCCTAACCTCCATCAGAAAACTTAGGCTAGTGGCTCCCAGCTTCTGAATCATCCAGGCCTCCTTTTACATTAGCTGGCTCTGCCAGCAAGGAGTTTTACACCTCTAAGTTCGATCTTGAAGAGTTGGTATGTCTAGACCCATGCCCAGGTGTTCTCACTACACTGGCTGTTTAGGAGACTGTGGGGTGTGGGGCATAAGTCACAGTGCAGCTCTGTTTCCAGGTCTTAGGATGTCTCTGATATCATCAAAGACCAAGCAGGGCCTCTGATCATCATGTGATCTCTGGTGCTACCAAAGTTCCAGCCAAAAGAAAAAAAATTGTTGTTTTAATTAGTTTGAGCAGCTTAATTATGTGAAAGAAAATATAAAATTTTTAGTTAAGCTCTTTGAAATTTTAAGCATAGCTGGCAGGCTTCCAATACCATCTTAGTAGACCACAAGGGGCCTGGGACCTCATCCTGGGCAGCATTGGTCTAAAATAAGATTTGGGTTTTTTTCTTCCTTCAGAATATTAAAGTTAACATGTATTCATTTTGACCAATATATTAAAGTTTAATCATACTTTCGTAGGTTAGAAATGGTGGATGGTTTACTTAAGAATTCTGTACTTCTATATTTAAGGTTGTATTTCTTCAGTAACTATTGTTTTTGCACAGAAATGTTGAGTTTAGTTTTTTCCAAATTATTTCTTTCTGATGTTATTGGAGCCTTGAAAGAATCAAGGGCAACATCGCTAGTCTCATTTTTTTATTTGGGAAAATGGGATAGTAATATTTGCCCTACCCAATTCCCAGAATTATTATGGATTTAAATATAGTAATGTATATATGCTCTGCTGAACATCCCAAATGCTACACTGTGCTGATTCTTATTAACATATTCTAACATGTCTTCATCTGGGCTATATGATTATTAGTTAAGAGATGTCATTTCCAAAAGGTTGGTTCTGATCTGTTACAACTCAGAATTGGTGATGATCTCTTCCTACTTGAGTGTGAGAGGAAAGGAAACTTTTATTTGTGGCATGTTTTGTTTTAGTCTGGGGTGTGTGTGTGTGTGTGTGTGTTTAACCTAATTCAGCCAGGTGCAGTGGCTCACGTCTGTAATCCCAGCACTTTGGGAGGCTGAGGCGGGTGGATCATGAGGTCAGGAATTCAAGACCAGTCTGGGCAACATGGTAAAACCCTGTCTCTACTAAAAATGCAAAATTTTATTACAGGGAGTGGTGGTGGGCACCTGTAATCCCAGTTACTCCGGAGGCTGAGGCAGGAGAATTGCTTGAACCGGGAGGCAGAAGTTACAGTGAGATTAGATCATGTCACTGCACTCCAGCCTGGGCAACAGAGCATAAAAATAATTAACCTAATTCTGTTAATCCATTATGCCCTTGTCTGGAGGGTGTTCCTGATTTCCATCAATTTCTACATTCTGATGTTTAAATCTGGAGAAATAAGGCCAGCCATTTCCTAGAATCACCAATCCATTCTCCAGATGATGGACTGGGAAAATGGGAATTAGTGTTTGTAGAGCCCTACTAAGGCAAGATTCTATAACCTTTCTCTCCTTTTAATCTTCACAGCAACCCTGTGAGGGATGTTTTATTTTCCTAATTTACAGATGAGAAAATGGGGGTTCACAGGACTGTGTAACTTTACAGAGGTCACACAGTAGCCCAGGAATTTAGCTAGGTCTGTGACACTCAAAGGCTTTCACTGTCTTTAATACGCCTCCCCTCACACAAAAGAAATGAGAGCAATTGGCAGGACAATGTGGGAAACATTTATTTGGGACCCTTGCTTTGTTCAAGTGCCTAGAGCATTTCTCCTGCTCCATAGTCCCTGAAACTTTCCACGATCTCAACACCAGCTCCCTTTGCAATGAGCCAATCAGCTAACTAAAAGGTATTCATGAAAAAGGCCCAGCAGCCTCAGGAACATACAACTGACCCTTGACAATGCAGGGGTTAGGGCACTTTTTGGACCCTAATAGCTACCCAAAGTCACATGGGCCACCAGCTTTGACCTGAGCGCATTACGAAGAACTAACTCCTCCTCTCAGGAGAACTATTAGGTTGGTGCGAAAGTAATTGCATTTTTTGCCATTACTTTTAAATGGCAAAAAAAAAAAAAAAAGCCAAAAAAGGATAGAGGAAGGAAGTATTTCTTTGTTTTTTGGTCCCGTAATACTTACTTTTGCCATAGAAAACAAAAAAAAAAACGGCAATTACTTTTGCACCAATCTATAGTTTAGGAAACCACTGAGGATTCAAGGTCAGAAGATCTGAGTTCACATCCTGTCTTCCCTACCAGCTGTGGGATCCAGCAAGTCGCTACGCCTCTTGAAAGCTCAGTTTATCTTTACCTGCATGTTGTGGCAACGAAAAGAGCTCTGTTACTGCACCTACCCCATCATGCTGCAAGCTGGCTATTGGCCTGGGAGCTCCTATAGAGCAGGAGCTCTGGCATCCTCATCTTTTTCATCCACAGTCCACAGGAATGCTTGATGCTTTATCGGTGATTCCTAGTCTCTGTATCTGGAATGACCCTAATAGCCTCCGTAAAGTAGAGAAGTTTGACTCGGAAATCAAAATCCAGACGTGAAGTGATATTTACATGTATGTGACAGCTCGTTTGGGAGCAGACGTTTATTGAACAGCCAGAACAGATTGCAGAGTTAACACTCAACAGCTTCATCCAGAACACAGAAATCTGTCGGAGTTGAAATGTGAAGGAAACGCAGGCTGGGAAGACACACCAGTCTTGGAAGGCATGCTAGGCGGTGCTCAGACTTTCTCTGCAGAGTGCCCTTGGGTCAGACTGTTCTGGCAATGAGGTCATTAGTGCTTGGTAAGATCAAGTCCCTAACAATAAGAGCAGTAACAAGAGCAATAATAATGGCCACCACTCATTATTGAGACCTCTTACAAACCAAGCTCTGAAAGCGCTTGACATGCAGTGGCTCGCTTGACTCCTGCAACAATTCTGTGAGGCAGATAAAATTGTCCCACTTGATTTATGAATGAGGAAATCGAGCTCAGAGAGTGTGAGTGAGTTGACTCAGGCCTCCCAGGTAAGACTTACCTTGACCTTGCAAGCTCTTGGGTCTCAGATGAAATGCCATTTGGAGGCATTAAGTGTTGTGAGATTGGCTCTGGCTGGTTGGATAGTTTGTAAAGCATGACAATACAGTGCAGTGTGGGGAAATGTCATTTGATTTATTTTGTTCTCCTGGGACTACTTCCTCTCTTAACATGACTAGCAAGGTAGGGCATAACTGAAAGTGAACAGAAGTCCTAGATGGGAGAAGAGACGATCAGAGGGACCCTAGTTATTTTTTGTGAATGTTTATGATAATAGTAGGCAATAGTAATAGTTAGCATTTATGAAGCAGAAGGTGTTGGGGACGCCACTAAACACTTTGCATGTATTATCCAATTTTGCACCCACCATAATGCTGTTGTTGCCCAGCTGCATTAGTCTGCTCTTGCATTGCTATAAAGAAATACCTGAGACTAATTTCTAAAGAAAATAGATTTAATTGGCCCACAGTTCTGCGGGCTATACAGGAAGCATGGTGGCATCAGCTTCTGGGAAGGCCTCAGGGAACTTACAATTATGGCAGAAGTGCAAAGAGGAGCAAGGTGTCTCACGTGGTGGGAGCAGGAGGGGTGGGGAGGTGCTACACACTTTTAGAAGAGCCAGATCTCGTGATAACTCACTCACTATCACAAGAACAGCACTGAGGGGATCGTGCTAAACCACTCATCAGAACCCGCCCCATGATCCAATCAACTCCCACTGGCCCCACCTCCAAAAAAAGGATTGAGGATTCCATACAATTCAACATGTGATTTGGATGGGGACACAGATCCAAACCGTATCACCAGCCAACAGCCACTCTTCCTCTTGTTTTTCATTTTGTTTGGGTGATAGTATGCCCTGCCTGCAAATATCTAAGTCAATTATCTAATGCTATTCACCTTAGCCAAGGCCAGGTCTGAGAACAGGTGTGTAGCTAGATATGATGAATAGGAAAGAAAGCAAAGTCAAGTACTTTCCAAGGATAGCAAATATTTTCCTCTCTGAGAAGAAAGAGGCCACAGAAGATTCTGTTTTAATTGTTTGTTTGCTTATTTGTTTGTCTTTTATCCCTGCCTTGCAAGTGCTATGTCAAGATATGACCTAGGGAATCCCAGGGATACCAACCCAGAACCCCAGAATCCTAGTGTCACTGGGTTGCTAGGGCAATGCTGGCATTGACTGCCTCAAAACTTTTCGTGAAGTGAGATAGTAAATGTCTTTATTATTTATGCCATTATTAATTGGGTATTTTCTTACTTGTTCCTAAAAGTATTCCTACTGATAAAATAGTATTGGTTCCATTTTATAATTGAGAAAACCAAGGCATAAAAAATTAAATCACTTTCCTTCTGTCACCCAGCTTGTAAGTGGGAAGGCCTAATAAGCTTTTGCTACTACGATTCTGCCTGGATCCAAGTCTACAGTCCAAGGAATTACATTCCAGGGGTGATAGGTTGGCTCAATCAAGTAAGAAGAACTCTTGACACTGGGCAACTGAGTAGGGAGCTCTCAGTCATAGGAGATGCTGAAGCAAAGGAAAGACAGCCATCCGTGAAGGTCACTGGAAGGAGAGCCAGGCTCTAAGTAGACAGGAGTCAGAAAGATGGACCACGTGCAAGACGCTAATGTGTTATAAACGTGTTCTGTAATAGAACCACATGGGCTCAAAGAATAGGCAAAAAAAGAAACTGCAGTCTTGGCTAACCAGGTTTCCAGTTTGGTGATGAGACAGTGCTTCAGACATCTGTGGTCCAGGAATGGGCTTGACAGTGCTGCTCCTGGACCATTGAGGGTGATGGCAAGGTGAAAGGTAAGGGTCAGGCCTGGATGTGCATGAAAGTCCCAGCTCTGGCCAGGCACGGTGGCTCATGCCTATAATTTTAGCACTTTGGGAGGCTGAGGTGGGAGGATCACTTGAGGTCAGGAGTTTAAGACCAGCCTGGGTAGCATGGCGAAACCCCATCTCTACTAAAAATGAAAAAATTAGCTGGGTGTGGTGCTGCACACCCGTATTCCCACCTACTTGGGAGGCTGAGGCACAAGAATTGCTTGAACCTGGGAGGCAGAGGTTGCAGTGAGCCAAGATTACGCCACTGCACTCCAACCTGGGTGACAGAGTGAGACTCTGTCTCAAAAATAAATAAAGTAAAAATAAAAATTAATAAATAATAAATAAAAAGAAACTCCCAGCTTTGCTATTTCCTAGCTGCCAACCTCAAATTCCCTCTTTGTCAAATGGGAAGAATGGCTTCAGTGTACTTCCTAGGGCTGCTGTGAAGATTAAATGAGATGATTGTACACATCTACAAACGTTTATTGAAGACCTACTATATGCCTAGCCTTCTTTCAAATCCTGATGTCTGTGTAAGCTGAAAGAGTTTCACAAATTTAAAATATTAAGTATTATTATTTATTTTTAAAAAGTATCTAAGTCCTCTCTTCCTCCTGCCCTACCAAGGAACTCCATTCATCTATTTTGAAATAAATTGAGCTCTT